GGTTTTCAACGCTGCCTGATGGATCGCAGTCTTCGCACTGATCACAACGAAGAATTTCTCAGAGAGGTGTCTGCCGGTGGTCGTAGGACATTCAAGCTGTTCCTCGAGGTTCTTGATGACCTTGGCTACAACTTTGTGAATGTGCGGGCCGAGCTGCAACTGCTAGTGTCGACTAATACTGACAGCACTGCTGCCATGACCAGTAAGCATTTTCTACTGAAGTATAGCATGTCTTAGTGTATGCATTCATGCATGCAGGTGTTCAGTGCATGAATCATGCGTGGATCTGTAGCTGTTGCACTGTAATAGAATAACCCATAGTCACAAAGTGTGTGATGCAGCCGGTGACGTGGGAGAGGTTTGTGTAATTTAGATGTTGTCTTTGCTACAGTGCATTTCAAAACTATAGACGCGTAGGGTTTTTGAAATATTTCAAATTTGGCTGGAACTTTTTGAGAATAGTTTTCGGAATGTTGCTCAGGATCGCTCCACAATTACTCTCATATAGTTTCTAAAGGATTGGATAACAAACGCCCAATTTGGAAAAAATTATGCACAAAGTGATCACAGATTTTATGTGGTATAGATGCTGGCATAACGGTTTTTGCCTAGGTACGCGTCTATAGTTTTGAAATGGACTGTAGCTCAGGAATAGTCTTGATGCCAGGGTTTGACGCAAGTGTGGATTTGTGTTTCCTGCATTTGTACTTGTCTTTTCCGTTACAAGGTGCAGTGAGTGCTAGTGGAGTGTCTCATCCGCAGGTGTCCGCACTTCAGTTCATACCAGGAGCAACGGTAACAGAGTCCGGGTGAGTTGCAGCCATTGCATGCGTATAGCTTCAGACTTGCACTCCCCTGTCTGTACAACACGCTCCATGCAGGTCAAGGTCTCTTTTTGATTTCCTCATGGTGTCCAGAGTTGCACGTCTTGATCCTTGAGAGTCACAGTGTTCCTACAGATGCAGAAACTCAGTCTAACAGAGTCTCGCACAAACTGTGAACATTTTTACATAGCATGGTGTGACTCTTGTGTGCAATGTGACACTTTCCATTGTACACCTCCCTCCTTCTCCTCCTTGAACATTGTTTTGACTACAAGTCTTAGATCAAGGTACACCGGCTAATGGGCAAACAGGTGTTCAGAGCATCTCCGCGGACTGACGATGCTACAAGTACATGCATCGACCACACCGGGTCACCTGGTCGTCCGGCACGCACAGGTTTATGTAGGTCTCGCTGGGTTATGTTTCCTAGAGCGGGTGCTATCCAATCCTTGTTTGGTCGCCGGCGTGTAATGAGTCTAACAACCTAGTGCAGGTCGTTCTTCACGCTTCACCTGGTCTTGCACCGTGCCAGTACAATCAGTGTCAATCTGGCGTGCTGTCTCAAGATTATTCTTACACTGTCGGCATGCAGTATAAACGTGGCTCCGAATGCATGTCTAAATTTCCTGCTGCTGGATTGGTTTTTTTGCAGGAGAATGTTGGAAGAAATCTGTGACCAAGAGAATCTCTACCGCCGACTGAACGCAATGTTCAGCCAGGAAGAGCGAGGTGCGTATGCCTATGGATAGAGCATTTGATTGCTACCTGATCGTCATTTATCGTTTTTCTTCTCTTTTATTTTACTCTGCTTTGATTTAATTCTATAGTTGTATGTGTGAAAAATGCCATAGTGCTACCATTGCATGGTGATGGTGTTGCCATGGTGTTATGAAGAAATACAGTTGCCATGGTGTTATGAAGAAATGGTGTTGCTGTGGTGTTGCTATGGTGTTATTAAGAAATGGTGTTCCCATGGTTACTATTGATTGTTTAGATGAGCTGGCCTGTGCTGTTGTGGAGGAAGTGACTGGAGACTGGAAGAACTTTGAGAAGGTCATCACAGACTCATGCCGCAGACGTCATCAGCAAGCTCCTGATCATCGTGATGCGAAGGCCATCCTCAGCTACTGGATGCGTAAGCGTAACAGTCCACCGTGCACAGATCACATGATCAAGCTGGTGCGTGATGTTTGTCCCTCGCGTGTCTGTGACATCAAGATGCTGCTGAGGTGAGTACTGGCTCCATTCTGCTGCTGCTGCTGCTGTTGCTGCTGCTGCTAGTGCTGGTGGTGCTGCTGTTGTTGCTGCTGCTGGTGGTGGTGGTGGTGCTGCTGCTTTTGTTGCGACTGCTGCTGGTGGTGGTGGTGGTGGTGCTGCTGCTGCTGCTGCTTCTGCTGGACATAGTTCACATTCAGACTTTGCAATGTGTTTGTGTGGAACTGTTGGTAATTGCTCTGTGAGGCTATACAGGTGGTTGTGCTCAGGGAGTATTGTAAAAGCAGAAAAGCTAGTCGGTGAATAATGTCGTCCAATTCCAATGAAAGGGAGATTGTGCGGTTGATGAAAATTTAGTCCATGGACATAAAACATATCGAGAACCTGGAGAAATCGACATTCGTCCAGAATTGAATTTATTCCGAATACTAGTACTCCTTGGCAGGCAGGCAGGCATAGTGGGATGGTCTAAGACCATGATTGAGAAACAGAGGGTACCACTACCAGGTTCAAGTCCTGCTTGGAAGCGGAAGGATTTTTCCAGCCGTGCTGCGACCCACAGTTAATTGGGAACTCGTGGCCTGGCACGAGGGAAACATGGATGCAGTGAATGGGATTTTCGGTCTTTGACCACTTGGTGGTGGGTCTGATCTACTCACCTCCCACCGCTTAGGAGCTGCATCTGCGCCTTGATCCAAGAGGGTGGTGGCGTTCCTGCGGATGTGGAAAACTGGGCCTTTGTCCGAGTCTCACGTGAACGGTGATTTTTTTGGACGAAAAAGACGAAATGAAATTCCAGACGAATATTTCTGCTTTAGGGGCCATCCGTAAATACATGTATAGTTATTTATTTAGAAACGCACTATAGTCGTTTAGGGGGAGAGGGTGAGCGCCTGCTCGTTTCTCGAAAAATATCAATGAAGAGCTCACTGACTTGTCAGTTTATAAAAGTACTCTGGCAAGGTACTTTCGGGCTTAGTTTAAATCTGGCTTTGGGAAATTTATTTTTCATTGCCACCAGGTTCGGCTTCATTTTCTCTGTGCTGCGCTGATGAGTCCACAAAGGACGAAACAGTTTTGTCCGCAGATTGAATGTACAGTTTGTAAGTGTGGGAACGTCCAAGAATAGAAGGAAAAATATCGATACTATGTACCGTTTCTACGTGTTCGTTTCTCAGGGAGGGGGGGGGGGAGGGGTTGAAGAGAAATGACTAGTTTTTGTTTCTAAACAAATATCAGTTTTTACGGATGCCCCCCTTATACAATAGTACCACGTGGTATTTTTTACAACTCCTTTCGTTATGGTCTATGAAATTTGAGGGCTCGCTTGAGAGCCGTCCGTCAGTTTCATCGGTACCCGCTTGCCCCGAGTTGAGTTGCACGGCGCAGGGTGTCAAGGGATGGTTGGACTGGGATCACTGGATTCGGGCCAATGATCGTGTTCCGCAGCCACGGCTGCTCAATGAAATCCGATAGTGCGAGTCGAGTTTTGCGCCCTGCACCAGTTCACCATCCGAGTGTGCACAGATCTAGGCCAGGTGTGCACAGGTCGAGGCGTGGCCAAGACCTGCCTGATCAGATCTAGGCCAGGTGTGCACAGGTCGAGGTGTGGCCAAGACCTGCCTGATCAGATGTCATTCAGCAAACACTCTACACAGTGTAGTTTTCAGGACCAATCTCTAATGTTGTCCTTGTGCCGTGTACTCTGGTTTTTGCCTGCAGTTCCACTGAGCCATCCAACTGAGCCAGTGACATGTTTACGCCACTCCATCACCATGGATACCAGCATCAAGATGGCTACCAGCATCACCATGGGTCACCATGGATATAAGTAACACGAGTACATGTGATCATTGTATATACCGTACCCTGGAACAACAGTAGCCGTAGCTTTAGTTCTGCTTAACGTGCTACGCTGTATGTCATGTCATAGCCACCCTCCGAGTTTCTGTGCTTTCCCTCTCCTCCAACCGTCGTTGATTCTGACCTGCTTTTTTCAGCAAGTGCAGTGCAATGTGCTGCAAGCTGGCATTCTTGTTTTCCATGGACGTTGCTTGTTTTTTTTAATGTTCCTCTCAGTACATGTAGACGGTGTGTGTGTGTGTGTGTGTGTGTGTGTGTGTGTGTGTGTGTGTGTGTGTGTGTGTGTGTGTGTGTGTGTGTGTGTGTGTGTATGAGTGTGCACACACTTGATTGTACTTGTAGACGATGCCCAGATAGCTACTAGCTACAACAAGCAATATTTTAGTTACATGTAGGTCTCACCATAGGGTGTCTTCGACAGTATCTTGTTTGCCCCCCCCCCCCCTCCCCTCTAACTTACATGTAGCTGGCTGCTGCTTTTCCACTGGAGCAATCTGTGTTTGTAGGCTTGCTTGAAATATCTAGTGTCCTGTCTTTAGTAGCCACTTACACACTCTAGTTAAACCGCCTGGCTAATGCAAACTCTAACTGCACTACGCTGTGCACGTACACGGAGTGCAGCTGTTCGCGAAACGCTTTTTTCCTATTTCTTGTGCGTATGCTGCTACTAGTGCTGGTCGTGTCCGCTGTCACGCGATTGCTGCACATTGCTCTGTGTCTGCCTTCCAGAGCCTGTGCAGTGGTCCAGTCCGCTGGGCTGCGCTGTACATGTAAATACATGGTGCTCGCGCTCGCTCTCTCTCTCTCTCTCTCTCTCTCTCTCTCTCCTTCATCTCTCTCTCTGTCTCTCTTTCTCCCACACTTCTGTAATTTTCATTTCTTTTCTTCACTGCCTATCACTGCCCGCGAGTTCACCGAACAGGCAAACCATTCTCTCCCCTCTCGGCCTTGACGGTCCCCGATTTGACTGTGTACATGTGTGTACATGTGTGAGCTTGTAATCGTGTGTCTGGGGCACTGGACTGCAATGGTTGATGTTCCTAAAGTGTGTGTTCCCCGCCAGACTCAGTTTCTCCAGCTGTTGAGGAGACTGGTATT